GGACAAGATGCTTCAGGCTTTGCTGCTTCTGGAGCACCACTGATATTTTAAGACAAGTCACTGCAGGTGAACAGGGTAAAAAAAACAAAAAAAAACAATAGTTATTACCATACTTCTCCAGCTGATTGATTATATTAAGATTTGTAGGAATTTTCAGTATTCGCACATTTCGAAAATCTGAAATTTAAATATGCAAATGAGCCATTTTGTCATTAAATATGTACTCATTTTTATGCATTTATAGCACCAAAATATAAACGCTGGATTGAGCCACTATTCGACATTTAGAGTGAAAAAAAAATAAAGAAAATTTGGGGAATTTTTTAACTACATAATTAAAAAAAAAAAATGGAGAGAAATAAAAATTAAAATCTATATATTTTTTACAGAATAAAATATACAATCGGGAAAATTATAAGTGAACAAACTGAGACACTGAGCATTTTTTTCAGCCTTCTACATTTGTCTTCAGTTGTTTCACTTTAAAGCAACAAAAGGAACTTATTCATCACTAAAAAAGTAAAATTATATATTTAAATCATGTTTATAATATCATAAATCCATTTAAAAAGATCATGTTTGATAAAGACATTTAGAAACATCCAAACTCAATTTAACGATTAGAAATATAGACCGCTTTGAAGGAAATTTTCTCAATATTAATTCTTTTTAAAAAACAGATTTATTGTTTATTAATATAGTTTATTCTAAGTCAAATATTATTCTGTACTAATGAAGATTACTTATTCAGCTTTCAGGTGAAATATCAATTTCAATTTCCAAACACTAACATTTGTATGATAGTTTATAGAATAAAACTAAAGTTAAAACTGTGATGTTTGCTGTAAATTCTGCCGAAGTGGTGAATTAAGACTGTGTACAGGGAACACATGAGAGAAAAACAGCCTTTAAAATGTGTTTGTAGTTGCCATTTTCACCAAATTGATCAAGTGCAACAAAAGAAATGTAAATACTAGCTGTTTCCTTTACATGAGATTGAAAAAAGATTTTCAAATCTGGCAGGTGCATGAAAAAGAGTTTTTCCTGAGGCTTCATTTCCCACAGCTCCTGTCAACCCTCGACAGCTTACAAGCGGCAAATGTTTGTGAAGGGAATTATAAGAAAACAAACACACTTCCTGCCACCAACTTCTAATCGCGCTCCCACTTCCCCTCTCAAGCACGAAACATTTCCTCTTTCTTCAGATTGCTCTTTTCTCTCCTTCTGCCTTGTCTAATCTCTTTAATTACATCTGTTTTCCTGGGCTGCTGAGGCCTCTTTTGTCCTCCCGGTCAGGGGGCTTTTGTGGGGGCAGATCTGAGCTCTGCATCCCCTCCTCAGATGCTTTGTGGATCTGCGGCTCTTCCTGAGCAGGAGAGGATGAGAAGGGGATTAGAGGATCTTTATCTCATTAGAGACACAGTGAGTCGACTCTAACGCCTTCATCTGCTCTGCGGAGGCCAGAGAGCCCAGCGCACCCGCTGACAGACTCCACTGAACATACATGTGCACGGGAGATACTTAGCAGACAATTTGAGGAAAACAATCGTTTGGTATTTTACGTCTGAAATAAAAGCCTGGGTATTTTGTAAGCTTTTTTTAAATATGGTTATTAAATCTCAATTTTAACAATACTGCAATAATGAGGTACCTAAACAATTAAAACAAAAAAAATTATAATTCAAGTACACTACCTGACAAAAGTTTTGTCGCTTATCCAAGTTTTAGGAACAACAAATAATAACTTGACTTCTAGTTGATCATTTGGTATCAGAAGTGGCTTATATGAAAGGCAAAGGCGTCTAGATTACGCTTATTTACCCACAATAAAATATGATTATGCCTTGATTTTTAATTATTTAATTAGGACAGTAAGGTCTGACTTTGCTTAGATAAAAGTCTTGTCACTTAACAAAAATAAAGTACCGTATAGCATATAAAGTGGAAAAATAATGAAGATTGTGTATGACTCCCATGAGCTTGGACAACTGCATCCATACATCTCTGCAATGACTCAAATCACTTATTAATAAAGTCATCTGGAACGGCAAAGGAAGCTTTCTTGCAGAGTTCATCTAGAACATCTTTGTAATGTAATGGGCAGCACAAATGTCTTGATACCTCAGGCTGTTGATGTTGCCATCCCTTCTGCACACCCCCTACTGAATGTAACCCCAAACCATGATTTTTCTGTCACCAAACTTGACTGTTTTCTATAAGAATCTTGAGTCTATGCGGGTTCCAATAGGTCTTCTGCAGTATTTGTGCTGATTAGGACGACGTTCAACAGATTATTCATCTGAAAAATCTACCTTCTGCCACTTTTCCAAATGATCCACTAGAAGTCCAGTTATTAGTCTAACTGAGGAAAAAAGTTTGAATACCCTCCCATTTATTCACAATACGGCTCAAATCACACAAAGATATACCACATAAGATGCACGATATTAGTAAATAATTACTCAGCATTTTGAACAAGGCTTGCCCTTTCTAAACCTCTGAGATTTATTTTGGTGTGCTCCTGACTGTTGAAGTGAGCGTGAGCACCATGGAGAGAGCAAAAGAGCTGTCTGAGGCCTTCAGAAAAATATCTGTAGCAGCCTAAGATGCTGGTAAAGGATTTAAAAAGACCTCTAACGACTTCAAAATGAGCCATTCCACTGTCTGTAAAATAATCTACAAGTGGAGGGCTTTCCTCGAGAGCAGACCGCAAGATACTAAAAGAGCTCTCCAAAAACCCTAAAATGTCTTTATGGGACCTACAGCAGGCTCTGGCTACTGTTGATGTGAAAGTGCATGTCTCTACAATCAGAAAGAGACTGCACAAGTTTTCATGGGAGGTGTGCAACAGATGAGTCCAAAATTGAATTATTTAGACAGCATTCCAGGAAAAGAACCTCATACCAAATGTGAAGCATGAAGGTGGTCATAGTTTGGGGTTGCTTTGCTGCAGCAGGACTTGGTCAGCTCACCATCAAAGAATCCATCATGAACTCTAAAGTGTATCAGGGGGCTTTAGAACCACTTGAAAGTATCTGTCTGAAAAAAGATGAAACTGCAACAGGACTTGACAATGACCTAAAACAGACAAAAACATAAATCAATCAAGGACTGGCTAAAAATTATGGAATGGCAAAAGCCCAGACCTTAATCCTATTGAGATGCTGTGGGGTGACTTGAAACAAGCTGTACATACAAGAAACCCCTCAAACATCCCACAGCTGAAAGAATTCTGCATTGAATAGTGGCCTAGACTAGTAGATGGCTACAAGAAATGGCCCCCTGCAGGTATTTCAGCCAAAGGCCGTTAAAGGGTAGGGTGTCCTAACGTTTACCTCAGAATATGCATTCTTGTAAAATTGGTTAAATAAACTTTTTGTTTTTATTTTTGAGATTAATTAACTATATTAAAAATCTTTAAATAACACCCAGGCTTTCATAGGATGTCCACATTTTTTTCACATGACTGTAAGGACATATTGTAGATTTAGATGTGTAACTTTAGAGTACTACTTCATTATAACTTATATTAGATTTATCAACTATAATATAGCTATTGAGTAAAGGGCAATAACATCATATGAATAAACGTGATTGTTATTGTAAAGTTATATATTATATATAGTCTTTTTTATTTATTTAAGTTTTTGCTCAAATGTTGGCATATTTGTAACACTTGAATCATTCAGATCATAAATCAGATCAGATAATTTAAGTAATTGCCCCTTAATCTAATAACCTGTTGGCCGTGATTTTGCAGCATTAACTGCAATCAAGCATTAGCGATAACATGCAGAGTAATTCACATCACTGTGGAGAATTTTTGACTCATTTGTCTTTGTAAAATTGTTTAAATTCAGTTATATTACTGGAGTTGAGCATGAATGGACTGTTTAAAGGCTGTTCAACAGCATCTCTGGATTTTGACTTGGCCATTTCAAAACTTTTCCTTTGTTTTTCTTGAGCCACTCAGTGCTGGGCTTGCTGGTGGGTTTTAGATCACTGTCCTGCAGCAGAACTTAAGTGTGCTTGAGCTTGAGGTCACCCAGACATTCACCTACAGGGTTTTGTGATAAAGAGCAGAACTGATGGTTCCATCAATTATAGGAAGTCATCAATGCCTTTAGATCCAGACCATCTCAATACCACAACCATGCATGACTGTTGGTAGATGTTCTTTTTACGAAATGCTGTGTTGGTAGCAGGACACATGCCTTTCTAAAAGTTTATGTTCTGCCTTGTCAGTGCACAGAAAATTTGTCAGAAAGTCTTTGGGATAAACAAGAGTCATTTTCTGTTGTGCTTTTTGCTCAGCAGTGGCTTTTGCCTCCAAACTGAATACCACTTTTTTGCCCAGTCTCTTTTATTATAGTTGAATCTTGAACACACTGAGTTTAATTCAATTCTTTAGATGTTGTTCTGGATTCTTTTATGACCATCTGGATAAGTCGGTGTTTGATTGGTCGAAGTTTCTTTTCACTTCTGGGAAGTTTCCTAGCTTTCCCTATTTGCAAAATTTTCTAAAAAGAAATTTTGATTTCTTTTTTTAAATATTTCCCAAATGATGTTTAACAGAGGAATGACTTTGTCCACAGTATAGTCTATAATATTTTTTCTTCTGGAAAAAGTCGTATTTGTGTTAATTCACCTAGATTAAAAGCAGTTTTTAATTTAAAAAAATATTAATTTTATGTTCAACATTAATTTAGATTTTTTTTCATTGTCTACAGATCAAACCACTGTTATACAATTACTTGCCTGATTACCCCAACTCACATAATTAACCTAATTAACATACTTAAGCCATTTAATGTCACTTAAAGCTGAATACTAGTATACTGAAAAATATCAAGTAAAATATTATTTACTGTCATCATGGCAAAGATAAAAAAATAGTCAGTTATTAAAAATTAGTTATTAAAACTATTATGTTTAGAAATGTAATCTCACAAATCCCATAAATATAAACAAACAAAAGAGTAAAAATCAAGAGGAGAACATTATATTAAGAAGCTTTTTATTGAAAAGAGACACATTACAGTATAAGACTCTGCATCAGATATAATTTTTCAACACAGTACTGTACAGCTGACACAAACTCAATATAATAACAATAATAATTAGAAATACAACACCGATAAATTCCAATCAGAATGATCGTTTGGATGCCAATGGACTGAATAAAGGAACGAATGCAAAACCCAATAGTGTGAGAGAAAGAAAAGCTCCTCCTCTTACAGATTAGCATATTCATAAATAATGAAACGGGTCTCTTGGGTTCGAACGTAACACGGAGGCTGTGGATGAAATGAGGTAATAAACGCAAACAAAAAAGTAAACAAACACTACGCATTCTTCCATTTTTTACATCTATTTACACAAAGCAACGGGAACTGAAATAAAATCAAGGATATGTTAAAGCAACTTGGAACGTATTTATAAAAATCCCCAATTGATGGCATTGCTTTTACTCAAAAGGGAGTGAAGTGATGCTTTGGTTGCTGTCGCAGTATTCATTGGATTGTTGTCTCGTTTGCTCATTCATGCTATCTTTATTCAGTTAAAACATGGATAGATGATAAAAAAAGTAGATTAAAGGCCGACCAAAAAAAAAAAAACGTTCACAAGCTGATAAAAGGATGTTTTCATAATAAAATGGCAGACTCTTTAGCGTCACCTGTCAGGGTACAGTTTAATGAAGACGAAGACATTTACACAAAGAAGAGAACATTTACATCCGTTCATGCAAAAAGATCGAAAACAAAAACGACTGTTCTTCCACAGAAAGGATTCAAAGTGGACATTATATTGTGGGTTCTTCACAACGATTGATCTGTAGTGCATTTAGTCATAAATAATGGTCATTGTGGTAAAACCTCTAAAGGCCTGCTACGTTTATATACAAGACGAAAAAACGGCACCTTTTGGAGCTGCAAAATCAACTCAAACGTTCCTCTGGTAGTTTCTACCCGCAAAGCTTTTTTCAATTCTCACTGGTGTCCTCTGAACGCTTGGATAGCTACTTTTCTCTACACAATCCCAAATATCTACCAACTATCTTGAAGACTTTCAATATCGCTTGTATTGTGGAATATATTTATTCTACAACAGAGTCTCTCTCGCATCTCCAACCCTAAATCGAGTACCTTCACATTTCTACTACCTAGTGAAGAGCTAAATCAATGGGAGCTGAGATTAAATGATCAAAGCCTATATTATGGAGCAAGTCGATTTCAAACCCTGCATGGGATCCTGTGTGATGATATATATATATACGCCCTGAGACTGACATCGGCTTTACATCTCTCAAAAAAACAAACACAAAACAGCGGCAGGATTGACGTCCAAGAACAAGGTGAAAAATGATTACTTGTCCATCTACCTGGCTGAATTTTGGCTTTGTATTGCTTTAATACTCCTTGAAACACAAGAAAGAAGAAGAATATAAAGGCGAGGAGAAAAACGAAGTTATGAAAAACCATTGAGAGAAAAAGACGACAATACCTCAAACAGGCACAACTTAAAAAAAGAGGGTGAGGTCAAATATTTATAATAAACGCTTTCGTCAGGGGGCTGTCCTCAATACTGCTCTATTTAGTACTCTACTTCAAGAAAACGCAGAGTGAGAGAGAAGATTGGAGAGTATGTACAGATTGGGACTAAAGACCCAAAGAGTCCTTCTCTTCAATAGAATACACCAGCTTCAGGACTCTACAGTGTTAAAGTGTGAGATGACCTGAGACTGCATGAAAGTGACGGCCACCATTAGCAGATTTCAGTCTCTTGCTTGACAAAAAGCCCTGTGTGTTATGATATTCTATAAGACCTTACAAACCTACCTGTGATTTTTTTGTCCTAGGGGGAAATTAGGGGGAAAACCAACTTCTGAATCAATGACGTGGTTCTTCTGAATCTGTACACTTAAAGTAAATAATAAGTCAGTTGATGGACAAGAAATAAGGCCAGTTTGGCTGGTTAAAAGATGTGCTAAAACAAAGCTGGTGAAAATTAAAACTGAATTCCCTTTTAATTTGGAGAAACGCAAATCTTAAAAGGCTTTAAGAATCTTCCGTTGGTCCAGTAATGAGTGCTAAGACAAATGCTGCTCAAAAATGGGTAAAAAGTCAAACTCAAACCTCAAAGTTTTGACTCAAAATTGGGGTGACATTCCTTTCACACTACTTAAAGCAGTGGTGTCCAAATTCCATCCAGGAGGGCCGGTGTACAGCATACTTTACTCCAACTTCCCTCAACACACCTCCCTGGAAGTTTCTAGTATACTTTGAAAGAGCTTGATTAGCTAGTTCAGGTGTGTTGAATCAGGGTTGGAACTAAAATATGCAGGACACTGGCCCTCGAGTATGGACATCCCTGACTTAAAGGAACACTCCACTTGTTTTTTTGTTGTTGTTTTTTTTTTTTGCAAATAGGCTTATTTATGTCTCAAGTCTAAGTGTAGATTTATACTCAGTTTAGTTTTACCATTGTTTAATTCATTCAGCCAATATCCTGGCGGGATTACTTTTAGCTTAGCTTAGCATAGATCATTGAATTGGATTAAACCATTAGCATCTCCAATTTTTGATAATTTTACTATTTAAGGCTTGACAATTCTGTAGTTAGATCAAGTACTAAGACTGATGGAAAATAGATATTTGCTATTTTGTAGGTTGATAAGATAATAGTCACAGCTAGATAACTAGGTAACAGCATTTCATAATATCATGGCTGGCATGGCAGCGCAGTTTCTTGATTATTATGCCAGAACAGCAACTTTTAAATTTACAGGATGAAACTACAGAGGAGTCAAGCTTTAAAAAAAGAATACTATTAAACTTTTTTTTTTTTTTTTTGAGCGAGAAGCTAATGGTCTAATCTGATACAATGATTTATGCTAAGCTAAGCTAAATGTGCTCCCGCCAGATCTGTAGATCGCCTGAGTAGATTCAAAACTGGTAAAACACAACAGACTTGTAAAATAAGCATATTCCGCAAAACAAGTGGAGTGTTCCTTCAAAAACAAAGGAGAGAGGACAAAGTGAACATACTAGCTTAAACGGCTGAGAAAAAAACAGTCAGAACAGATTTAAAGTCTGAAAGTATAAACTAGATTGATAGAGCAATGTGAATATGGAGATGAAAGTCAGGACACATACAGAGTTCTCTGGGACTTCTTTTGAAGATCCTCCACACTGCCCACACACTCCCATCTTGCTTTGTCATCCATTGGACTCCATCAGTTACCAAATCCACACTCTATTCTCCCAACATGCACTTGGTAGATTAAGCTGGCGCTGACAGAAAAGCAAAGAGCAGGGTTTTAATTTTTGCTTCATCATCATCGTCATCATCATCAGTGTTGGGGTCTGCTATAGTGTCATGATTGTGATGTAGTGGTGGAGCTGTACATATGAAGGGGTGTGTGTGTGTATAGGGAGGAGTGTGGGCCAGAATACATGTTGAGGTGGATGTGAGTGTTTTGTTCCTCATATAACTGCACTGTTCATGCTGCTGCAGCTGTTATTGCGGTTATTGTTCCTGCGGGACAGGTTGGGCGTGGCCATGAGCGGGTAACGCTCGTCGGGACAGCCGTATTGAAGAAGCACGTCCATACACTCCTGACTGTTAGCTTGTCGTGCATACGCCAATGCCGTATTGCTGTGAGCATCCCGTGCCATGATGTCCACACCGTACTATAGAAAAAGACATGAAGAGAGTTTCAGTTATTGTTTGACATCATCGCTTCAAATCTACATAAATCTTGATTGGAGCTTATAAGTGCACCGCACAGCGGATGCTGAAATCAATGAACGCTTGCAGCAATAATGATACCAAAAAGCACAAAGATGTTCCACAAATTTTAAATTGGAGCACAAAATAAATGGCCCACATAGTTTAACTAGGCTATTATGGTAGTAGCAATTAAAGTGCAACAAAAACATGAACAAAGATTACCAGGTTGAGAAATCACTTGTCTAACAATGCAAACAGAAGTTTTGTCAAGTGTGTTCTTACAGGTTTTCTTATAGACCAGAGTGCTGAAACAGTGTATGAAATTAACTACACACCTGAAGTCATTATAATGGGTGTTTTACATGATTTAGTTTGTGCTAGACCCTGTAGTAAGTATAGGTAATATTGCTTTGTAAAAGGAAACAGGAGCACGCAGGCTTTATAAACTCTTGTGCGCATCACATCAGCTGTGCGCAACATCCTGAAGCCTTCATCAGTGGGTGAAGAAAGCCTGCGTCTCATCATGCGCATGATCATCCTCTCATTTTTTTCGGTCCCACTTTATATTAAGTGTCCTTAACTACTATGTACTTACATCAAAAAATAAATACAATGTACTTACTGTGTTTATAATGTATTTGAGAACACTTGTGGTGCTCTTGAGTTGGGATAGAGGTTGGGTTATGGACAGGTTTGGTGGCATGGGTAGGTTTAAGGGTGGGTTAAGGTGTAGGGATGGTCAGCAGTGTATTTACAAATGTAATTACAGAAGTTAATTACAGATGTAACTACATACATGTATTTAATCAAGCATAAGTATACCGTAAATACATGTATTTACACAATAAGTACATTGTAACAAACCAATAAATCCTGTGTAAGTACATATTAGTTAAGGACACTTAATATAAAGTGGGACCTTTTTTTCTTTCTTTTTTTTTCTTTCTTTTGCTTGCACGAACAGTTATTGTTATATTGTTACTAATAATGGTTTTTAGTATACTAAATGACTGAGTTAATTGACCGCTGAAGACAAAATTATTAGCCCTCAAATGAAATTGTAATTTTCTATTTCAAAAATTTCCCAAGCACTGTTTAACGGAGAACATATTGTTGTCAACACACACACACACACACACACACACACACACACACACACACACACACACACACACACACACACACACACACACACACACACACACACACAACATAATACTTTAAATAATTTATTTATAATAACTAAATATAGTAGAAACAAATACAGGAAAAAATAACAGGAAACACTGTGAAAGATGCTTTGTGCTTGGGAAATATTTGAAAAAGAATTCAAATTTGTTTTTGCAAAAAAAAAAAAAAAAAACGACTGTATTTGTAAAAACTGCCTGGTAAGAGTTTACCTTTATCCATTACTTAGCTAATGTATTCACTAACATAAATGAACAATCAATTTTTTTAATGAATCAAAGTTTTTTATAATTTCAATTGCATTATTAAAATACAAAGGTTAGTCAATTAAATGCCATAAACTAATTGTTCTATCTTTCTGTTGATGAAATGAGGCTGGTTAACTTGTTTGCATGAGTTGACAGATCCTTGCGCTTGGTGTGAACTGACTGGAGCTTTTTAGGTTTCACATTGTGGTGTGAAAAGACCTTCCCTCAAATCAAACATTACTCTAGCCAGCGGTGTGATAAAAATAATGTGTGCTGCAACTCTCACCCATACGAGCAGCTGCGTGATCACAACATTCCCCTTCCGGCAGGCCAGGTGCAGGGCGGTCCGGCCATCACCTTCCCCGCAGGTTTCGTTGACCTCATCTCTGGAGCCGTGGGCCAGCAGAATGACCACCAAACGCAGGTCCTCCTCTGCTGTGGCCCGCAGTAACTGCTGTCCGAGAGAGAGCTCTGTGCATGTCAGCGATGCCAAAAACAACTTCTGCTCATATTTGGCCCGGATCCAGCGCTCACGTTCCTCTCTGAAAGCACACATACACAGACAGTCTAGATTTAGGCTTAGGACTGAATTAATGTCTGGCTGTCGACACACAGTTCACACCGGTGGCATGTTTTGATCCGGCTCTCATTCCAGATGACATTTAAAATCTGATGGGATTTGTGTACAGCCTTTTGATTTAGTTTCCAGTACAGCAGAAAACATTTACTAGCGCTCACGTCTCTATTACACAGCTAGCATCTAGACATTAACACTAAGAAATACAGGAACAACAAACAGGGTCCCACTCGAAGCCAAATATCAAACTCCTGGACTTTCATTCACTAAAAGCTGGATTTCTATGACCTGTAAGAAATAGAAAACCAGGCTGCTGATGTGTTTTGGATGATAATAAAAAAAAACAAATTGTATAAAGAAAACTGAAATTGAAAAAAACAAAACAAAGAAACCATATTCCCATATTTGAAGAAATATAAAAAAACTTCCAATGTCTGAAATTGACCTTTTAAAATTCCATGATATTTCCTGACCCATGGGAAACCTGAACAACTACTCTATATCTTACAAAGGTTTAATAAGAAAAGCAATGTTTACTTGAGAATGTACCATAAACCGTGTTGCACTACTTGCTTTTTTCAACCTTAAATACCTCTTTTGCATAACATCTCGCACAATATTGTTCTGTCTTATATAAAAGTTCTTGCATAGTTTGTTTAAGGTCATTTGTAGGCATACATGGAATCTGCACATGCAGAAATCTGCTGATCCTCACAGATCTTTAGAGGTTTTCACTGACTGTGCTTTAAAGATAAAGGGTGGACTCACACTATGCTATCCGAACCATGCCCAGCCCTGTTTCCTGGTTCATTTGAGAAGTGTGTGCGATTTGAATCGAGCTCATGTGTGATTCAGTTGGCCGGCCCTGGCCCAGTTGGAAGAGATGTGGTTCACTTGGGCTTTGGCACGGTGCGCTAGTGTGAGTGCAAGTGCGCCTGAGCCCAAAACTGAAGACGATTTATATTACATTTTTATATGGAATTATTAATCATTCTTACTGTTCAATGAACGCAAACTGTCATAGTTTATTAAAGATGCAAACCCCTCACAGCTCCACACCTTCAGCAAACCTCCTAACACCTGCAGCACGAGGACTATATGATTGTTTATGAGCGTCAAAAGTGGCTGAAATATTTGACTGCGTGTCACTGCTAAAACGATATAACTAAAGAAATCTCAACTGTGCTGAGCGAGAGCGCTTCTTAAACTGAACAGCGCATTATCGATGATGTAACCGTGCTCAGGCTCAAATGCAATTTAAGTGCAGGCCATCGGAGGAGACGGGACAAGCATGCTTTGGCAAGGTTCAAGGCAACTGTACATAGTGTGAGTACGCCCTAAGGGCCCTATCATACACCAGGTGCAATATGGCACAAGACGTGTTTAACACGATTTGTTATTTTACTTTACTATTACTTTACTATTATTAATATATTATTATTATTATTAATGGTAGTAGTAATAAAAGCCATATACATACAATACATACATAAAATAAGTAATACATATTTAATACATATTTAACAATTTAACCATTTTTTTGTACATTTATTAAATGTCACCTTGATGAACAGAATCATTTTCTTTAAATTCTTAAATAAAACAAAATAATAAAAACAACAAACAATAACTGACCCCAAGAGTTGGACTAGTAGTTTATATATATTTTTGCCAACAGACATCATTTGAGAGAGTATACTGTAGCGTCTATGATACAGCAGGTTAACAAAGCAAACACGGAGAGGGCCATCAGCAATCATTGGGTCGTTTACAGCAGCCCTCCTCATACTGTGCTATGATAGCACTTAATCCCTGCTAATCCCCGCAGAGTAAACAGCCTTTCTCAGACAACCCGGGATTAGTTCAGCCTCAGCTCCTATGTGAGGGGCAGAGGGAGTTCTGATACCCCCGGGGAGGGGAAGGGAGCTGGACAGAGGATATTGAGCTGTTCCCTAAAACACAGCTGCTCCTCGGGGAGTCTAAACCCAGGAGACCAAAGAACGGACATCCTACAGTAGCATCCCAATTTATGCTCAACAGGAAGAGTACACTGATGATGATGATGATCAGAGGTGTCAAAACTAAAATCAGAACATTTAAATCACAATCATAATTGCGAAATGTTAAAACTGCACTGTGGTCAAAAAGCATAGTGTAGAACAGGGATGCCCAAACTCGGTCCTAGAGGGCCAGTGTCCTGCATAGTTAGATCCAACGCTAATCAGACACACCTGGGCTAGCTAATAAAGCACACTGCCCTTTTCTCCCCATAGACTTTTATTTATACACATGCAAATGTGTCAGACCGGAAACACAAGTGTCGCGTCAAGTTTCGCAGTTCATTCATTGCAAAGTTCAAGCTTGGTGAACTCTGACCAGCGAAATCGCATCACTTGTCACTTGGAGTGAGACCAATCGAGGATCAAAACATGACCTCTCTGGACAGAAATTTAAAATATGGACCAATCACTCTTTTTTTTAATGTCTGATCATCTTGTTTAATCCCGCCCCCTTTTGCAGCGCCTTACGACAGAATTTCGCATGACCAAACTCTAGTGTGACCGCAGCTTTAGTAGGCTTGCTAGAAAAGTACTGGCAGGTGTGTTGAGGCAAGTTGGAGCTAAACTCTGCAGGACACCAGCCCTCCAGGACCGAGTTTGGGCATCTCTGGTGTAAAACCATAGATATATACACTAGACATCACATGCGGACCCTGAGCATGCACCAATACCGCCGCCACATTTGTACAGTGCTCCCAGCACAAATGTCATTCAACCGCACTTGTCATGACTAAAGCCAATGTGAAGATGCTGGACTTTAGTGCTGTGTATGGGTGTAGTAAGAAGCAAACAAATAAAACAAAGCACAAAGGCATCACATTTCATAGGTAAGATTTAATTTTTTACATTTTTGTACGTTACGAACTTTTGTGCTTTACAAGTCACGTTATTTATAATAATAATACAGTCACTTACTGCACTGGCCAAGGCAAAGGAGCACCAACGAGTACTAAATACAAGGCTTATGCTAGATTTCATTAATAAAATCAGCAAACAATAAAAATGAAATATGACAGCAAGACGTTGCGGTGATAGAAACTTTTATTATTGTCAGCTAAATGAACGAGTCGTTCATAATGGAGATTCATTCACAAACTAATTGCATCCCCATTAGAATGAGAAGTGAAAGCAGGAGAGAAGGTGTGTTTCAGGACACGAATTAGATCAAATTTAACAGGGAGTGAGGATAATACATTTCCATGCACACAAACACCCACTCTTTGTCAGCAATGCCAGTGCGATCACTAATCCATCAACATTGAAAAGTAATGTGAAATTATAATTTTTATAATTAAAAAAAATATTTGCAAACTGATAACTGGGAAAACTCCCAATCATAGATATATGTATATATGTGTATATATCTCTGGCTCTGGATGGCCAGTGCTCCACTGCACCTTGATTCCATCATTCATTTCAAAGGAGTGCTCCTCTGTACTAAAATGGCGGCTCTATTGACGCATTCCTTCCAAGAGACAACAACAGGGTAGGCGGCATCTAATGTAAATATCTATGGTGTAGAACAAGGGTGCTCAACCCTGTTCCTGAAGATCTATCTTCCTGCTGATTTCAGTTGCAACCCACATCAAACACACCTGTTTGTAATTATCCAGAGCAGTTCAGGTCCTATTTAAGTGTTTCAGGTGTGTTTGATCAGGGTTGGAGCTGAACTCTGCAGGAAGGTAGATCTCCAGAAACAGGGTAAAGCAACCCTGGTGTAGAATATATCGAAAGACCAATTTTCAACCTTACACCATCTGAATGATCCAGGAACAGAGCAAAATGTACAATGTGAAATGTAATAACTTTTTAGTAATAGTGATTTTTTTCAATTAAAAAAAACAAAAAAAAAAACAAATATATATATATATATATATATATATATATATATATATATATATATATATATATATATATATATATATATATATGATGTACTCTAGACTTAAGAGATTCAATGTGCAGGTTTAGAATATAATGAATACATGTTTGCTAGTGATATACTGTACCAAATTTCTGACTGTTATTTGTTTTATATTTTTTATAATGTATATATATTTTTTGTTAACCAAAGCTGCGTAAAAATTGATTAAACAACTTGGGTAAAATTTAAATTCAATGGGAAAAAGCTATTAAATATATTAAAATATTTTTTACAATTTTAACACACTTTTAAAAACTAATCAGGATATAAACAAGTACACACAGACCCACAGGAACTGTATATACATCATGATATTGCCCCGAAGCACACAGCATAAGGTAAGAGATGACAGCTGTCTGTGCTATCTGGGGCTGCTTATTGATCATAAATGTATTGTTTTCACTTCTGCATTATGAAAACACAGCAATTCATTTAGCAACTGTTTGATACATGAATATAATTCAGTAAAAATGAATGCTAGAACCGAATGAGCACCGGCAAGAGCTTTCATTTGAGCTATAACTTGTACATGTGTCATATGAAAAATATGAAGATGAACCAATGTAAAATACCTAGCTCGGGTATCCAAAATACTGTGTGTTTAAGTGTAAATAACTTTTGTAAAGTAGAATAAAAACCAAAGTGATGCAAATGTGCATAGATTATAGATTCTACACTTTCGAACGAAACCACTTAAGGGGGTGTGGTGCAATGCTAGCCCTTTAAATCTTAAAGCGAATGTCGATGACGTTTAACTGGTTAAATTTAGTTACATAAAAAACTTAATTAAAATGGCCAGAAAAAATGTTGAACATATGCTCAAACATATTAATCATTCTTTATTGAATTAAATATATATTAAATACTTATTTATTATTATTTTGAAATAATAATAAAAATAAGAATAATAAACACAATTGCAAATATTCCAATACATTTAAGCATTAGACTTACAGTGACATAAATTCTCCACCTGACTTA